ATAAGAAAAATTTTGTTTAACAATTTAGCCAAGAAATTATCAAATTCAATTCTGTTCTTACATTAATGAAATAAATGCAAGAACAAAAATTCATTAAAAAAAATTCTTAAATAAACAAAAACAATAAATTAAGAATTTAGTTCAAATTCACATTTTCATAAATTTAATATCATCAAAGAATTATCACATCAAATTCTAAAGTAAAATATGTTGAAAAAATTCATAAAATGAATCAAAATGTGGAAATTCACAAATACTTTCATTTTTATTACAAGGCTTTTTAAGTGAACATTCTAAAACATTACAATATAAAAAATAAAACACAAAAATTTAAATGCATTTAAATCAAATCAATTTGGATGCAAAAAAATAAAATAATTAATTAATTAAAATATTTCATTCACTTATGGCAAAAATATTATTTATTTTTTAAATTTTTATTTATACAATAATATTTTTATTAAATCTACCCTTATATTCAATTGAAAAACTCACTTTAAAGTTAATGTATGTAAATTTTAAAATATATCCAATACATAAACTATAACTAAGAGCAATTCTCAAGTGCTAAATTTCAATTATTGAAATTTACACACACACACACACACACACCATAACATTTTCATAAGGTATCCTGTTTTTAAAAATTAATTTGAAAGAAGATACAGGTTATATGCCAATTTTAAATTGCAATCAGAAACTTCCAGTAGGCACAGAGTATATAGTAGGCAAGTTATGCAAAAATTTTACTTTCGTTTTTCTAGCAGGTTATTTGTGCAAAATTACACTGCTTAGACAGTCAAATCCAAATTACTCTAATAATCAGATGAATGATAAGGCTAGCCTCATTGCAACTTATTACTCCCAAACAAACTGCAATTGTACAAATATCCACTCTAAAAACCATTTAATGCAGTAATATTTCTTTATTCTAATATTTTTGATCCTCTTAAACATTAGAATAAAGAAATATTACTGCATTAAATGGTTTTTTACAATGGGTATTTGCCTTATTTCTTCATTAATAAAAAATACAAAAACTTATAAAATACAGGATTTTCTGTTCTATCATTTAAAATTACTAAAATTTGATGTTTCTTTTGGAAAAATCCAATGTTAATATTGAATTTTTTCCAATATTGACTTTATCACATTATAATAAAATCATTATATAATATTTAACATAACTGTTACTTCCTTTGTATTAGATATATGATTGGGATGCTCTAAAAAATAAATTATCTTAACTCGTTTGAATTGAACTGAACATTGATTAATATAAAAAATATAAACATCTGTAAGTCCACCAGTTATGCTAAAGCAAACAATTTCCGGATTAATAGTAGCAATAATATAGCCGAATTAATCTGCAATTGTTTGGCTTTGATTAGTATAACTGAAAGTGTATATTATTAATGCTTAACAGACTATATGATTTATTCATAATGACTGCTAATTGTTGTTATGAAGTATGTATCTAAGATACATCTCTATTTCACACAAGTAAAATTAGATAACAAAGTTGCATCTTAGAATAGAGAAAATATGGTAATTATAATTTTAGTATGCAAATTTAAATTAAGAATTATATTACCTTAATTGCTACATTTAATATAATTTTGTTAACATATTTTAAAGTTATAGCTTCTAAATAAGAATGTTTTAAAAAAACTTTATTTAATCAATAATTATAAGAAAATAATTAATCATATTAGTTTTCATCACATATAAATACATATACTAACTTAAAAACTGTACTTTATAATCCAGATGTGTACAGTAATACCTCGACTTACGCGAACCTGGAGTTATGTGATTTTCAAATCTCATCGATTCGTCTTTTGTTTGAGTGCCACGCAACTCTTGATTACTCCCTCCCCCCACATTATTGTTCAACTTACATGTTCGGACATGTCATGCAGAATCGACACATAGCTACAATTTATTTTGTGTTATTTATTTCTGTATTTGTTATATCTACGGAGACTTGAGAGACTCTATGTGGTGATTTCTTGTAACCATGAACTAATCAAAAGATGAGAGAAGATTAACGAGAACATTTATTAGCTTACATACATCCGACTTGGATTTTACACAAATTGAGAAATTATACCCCGACTTACGCGGTTATCGCTCGGTCCCACCTATCGCGTAAGTTCAGGGTATTACTGTAATATGGAGTCCTAAAGGTAAAATTGCACCTCAATCCTCCTCTCCTAATAATTTTGCAAAAGATTATATATTTTAATTTAATTGCTCACATCCTGTCATAAAAACAGAAACATTGTTTGTTTGTTCTTGTCAGAATGATATTCTGACATGGAATTTACAGATAATTTCAAACTTAACATCCATAATTATTTGTGAATCCATAATTATCAATGAAAAGTATACATACTGTCTCATTTAAAACAATGAAGGCCCAACAAAGTTCAATAATCATCTCCAAATGAGATTTAATTCAGTATTGAATTAATTGTTGACAACCTTTTCCTGAGGCCCAAGAAGATCTCTAATTTCACCTAAAAACAAGTGAGAGACCAAACTAAGTTTTGAGGATAAAGGTTTGAAATCAATCAGAATGTAAAATGAGGGATCAAATCTATATAAATTTGTGTCCCAAAAACACAGAGCCCCTCTTATTCAGTTTTCATCCAGCCTGCTGTGTATTCTTCTGAATAATTTTCATCTTGCCCACTGTGTTCTCTGCCTGCCACCAACGTTTTCTATCCCTTGGTTATAACACTGAACACCATCAGAGATGTGTGTATACTTCTCTATTGTGCCTGAATTTGAAAGTTCTCCCAACCATGGTAATCACCCCAGATCCAGAACCTTTCCTCTGGATATTCTTCTGAGCTTCCTCTCCTGGAACTCTAATCACATTGACTTATTTTTGGATTCAGTCTTGAACAATTATAATATTCAAAGAGATCAGGTAAAAACCATCTCTTTCTCAATAAACAACTTTTTAACATGGAACGATGAGTTATCCTTTATTCTAAACTCACCTAAATACATGACTTTTTCACTTGCACCATCCAGTCACAACCCTTTTTGATCAAAAATCAAATATTTCTATAGTAAAAATTACCTTTCATTTTGATATCTGACTATCATTAAGATCACATAACCTTACCGTAATTTTATATGATATAACAGAATTTTAGACTTATAGATTTTAAAAAAATGATTCTTAACAATAAATGACCATAAGTCCAGTTTATACCTATTGTCCCAATGTTCCTTTCAATTTGACATTTGACTCAGTTTTTCATCTTTTTTTAACTAGGTATTACTATATATTATTAACATACAAGAATTAATGAATTAAAATTAGTTATTATTACATACATTTTTAACTCTGATTGCAGGAAGATATTGAAATTTATACTTAAAAAAATGCAAGAGAAGAACTAAAAAATTAAATGATGAGAACTCAAATATTATATAAAATTTAGTTTTGACATTCTATACTTGTGCTTTGAAATATCTCAACTTNTGTCTTCTTTCTAATGATGTAAAATACTCATGGAATACTGAAAGTGCTTTTTTTATGTTTATTTTATATTAATTGATCCAAAAACGCAAAAATAAACATATTAAATTTAAGAAACTGGTGGTAAATTATCTCAACTTACATCAATTACCATCCACTTTGTGTGATGAAATTTGAGGAAGGTGTTATTTTTAAAGTCAGGATTGATGGTTATTGTAGCCCACACTGATTAACTACTACTACCATTAATATCAATATAACAGTTAGGTCTTGTAAATGAAAACTCTCTTCCTGATTTTAAATCAGTCAAATTACAATGATGTTATATTATTGTACTCAGAAAATTTTTTTTAAACATTTGTTTAACAACTAGTTTTGTTAAATCTGATTAATTTTATATTTTAGTTGCAGTTTAACTGGCATGCCGGTAACCCCGGGTTTCTGGCATGCTGGTCTCGCCCATTTATATGTGGCATGCTGGTCATTCCTCGAAAATGTGGTTAAATTATGTAACTTACCAACCGAACCACCCGTAGACAACTGGCAAAATTCATACAGGCCATCAAAGACGGGACAATCTTCCCCAACATTAACTAAAAATGAGTAAAAATAAATTTTAAAAACTTTTTTATTTCATAAATACATTAGAATTATTTATCCTTTGCTTCTATTCCATTTCTTTAATCTCAATATGTAACTGGTTTAAGTATTTTCTAGGAATTATCACATCCACAAACTCCATACTTACTAGCTACAGTTGTCAACTGACTAGTAATTACAAAATCTATGGATGTGATAATTCCTAGAAAATAACAGTGTTTGAACCAGTTACACATTGAGATTAGAATTATTTGTTTAGTGGGACAAGACAGGACGAGAGTGATCCATCAACAAAGAATACCTCGTGGAAAGACTTTTATATGGGAAACTGGTTCCTATTTAAGTGTTAGACATTAAAAAATGCAGAAAAATTCCACATGGCCTGCCTGTTGATATGGCACAAGAGAGGTTCATCTATCAGTGTTTAGTACTTTTATCCTCTTGGTTACTAGTGGGCAATTAAATACAGTAGAATCTATTAGGACCACTCTATATTGATGATAACCAACTAATATTATTAATTAAGCAGAACATGAGTAATGGAAATTCTGGTTATATAAATCTGACATTAAAAGAAATGTTAAAACAATTTAAAATTGTATAATTATTAATTAATATTAATTTATCCACTATTGTTTGCCTGCTGTTTTTGCAGTACCATCTCTAACAATAATTAGCATATAATTGAAGAAATGCCTGTAATTTAAACTACCATACTGTAAGTAAATAACAATTAGAACAATTGAAATTTAACATTTAAAAGTATTGGTTAAGATTGATAATGATAAATACATATTATCATTATTATTGTACTATTGTATTGTATTTGAATTTACAAGCTTATCACACATATGAGACACTATTATACTAATTTACAATAGTACATACAATTTAAATCATTTTTATTTAATGAAATATCCCAAAAGGCATTTCAGCTATCTTTGCTTAGTCTTCTTCAGTTGGATATGTCTACAATACAGGTAAATGTTTTGAGAGAATACAGAACCGTAACATCAACTTGCATACAACATGTTTAAAATTGACAAAACCAGTTAAAATGTGGTCTTTACAACAATTAAAAGAACATTAAAATTTGGCACCAATCACATTTAACCAAACTAAACCATCAATACATGTACAAACTACAACAACATTCCATGCATTAGATGTAAAGTATGACAAAATAAATGCCATACCATCTAAAATGATTTTTATTTATATGTATACTATTATTCATAATATTTCATAATCTTGAGATGCAGAATATTCATAAATTTTATTCTAGTGTTCACAATGTATAGGTTGAAGAAGAAGTTGTTTAATAATTGAAAAGTTTATCAATCAATACATGTATTCTAAATGGAAACAAAAATCTTGTGAAATATTTGTGAAAATATTTTGGGTATTTCAATGCAAGCAAATAAGAATTGAAATAGCCATCATTTTGTAAAATTTGCTCTGTGCTTTTCACAAATGCCTTGGCACTTGTAGAAAAACAATATTTACAAAATTAAAAATATTATGGTCTATAGAGTTTACACATTCTACTTTATTATTAATCATAAAAATGCAACTCTAGAGACTATTTAGAACATACTACCAATAAAAATTTCCAACAAAGACAAAAAAAAAAAAAATATTTATACCAAAAATAGATACAAACTATTAGCTTAAATAACAGGAAAACCAATAAACAGAATAGAAACCCTAGTAAACAGCTTTCTAGAGGCAACATGTAAGGTTGAAACTGGGTAAAAGAAATGTACAGTACCAGCATTAAACAACAAATTCTTCATCAAATATACCACAGGCAGGATATCCCAATAACAAGTTCAAACTTACTTGAAATCACCTTCACCTAGTTTCACTCTTTCATGTCACCTCCAGAAGGTTGTTTACTAGGATTTCTATTGTTTATTGGTAATATTTCTTTAAAGTTTGCCAGGTTATTTTCCTCCAACTATTATTTGTCTATATTCCCTACGTGTCTCACTGCATTATATCCTTTCCAATGATAAGGATTACCTCCTTACACAAAAAAATCCAAGCTCTGTACAGTTCTCTTAAGGTAACCATCAAATAACAGGAATAACTTACAATTTACAAGTATCCTAATAAATAATCATGTCATTCTTTTATTTCAAAATTATTTAATAAACTACAGAGAAATATTAACAAATTTCAACAATTAGAGTATATAATTACCTTGTTCACTGTACCATATAAGTTACTATATATAAAAAACTGCTTCATGGCTTCCAATCCTTCCTTTGCAGCTTTATTCTTTGTCAATTTTTCATTATTCAGCAATACTTCTATCAATTCAGGCCCACCTAAACAAATATAAAATATTTAAAAATAATTAACTTATTTGAAATAGAATGAATCTCGTAATTAGAATTGTGTAACCATGTATTTAATATCTAAAATAGTGAATATATTGTAAGGAACCAAGTCTGAGCTTTATTTTTATTTTACTTTTATTTTGCTTTCATTATATTTTGTTTGGGGCTTATGTTTAGTTAAGACGAAGGTTTCCTCACCATTCACCTTAGTAACTTAAAAATAGAAGAAAAACCAACTCACCGACGAAAGAAAAGCGCCGTAGAAAAACTCGCGCACACTTGCGCTTCCCAAGCGGAAAAAGTAAGTCCGCACCGAGAAAAAGGGGGGGGAAGACCCCACAACCCAGTTAGGAATCGCTAAACCTTAAAATAATAAAGCATCCCGATAATTGTTAAAAAGAATAATGTAAAAGGTTAGCGAAGTATTGTCGGAAAATAATCTGCCAGATAAACAAGAAAAATTTAATGTTACAGATAAGTATGTAAATGAGGAGAGTGAGCTCATTCAGAATTGTGACGTCACCTCACACTATAAAGCCTCTAACTCAAGTGAAAACGAACGAGGTGAATTCCTGATAGCAACGAGCTTATAGCAGTGAACGAGAGAGAGGTGTCCGATAGGATTTTGAAGTTATTCGATTTGTGGATCGACGGTTATAGAAAGTCTTGAGAGTTTGAGGAAATAGGTTCCTAGTATATTGAGGTGACGATTAGGATCTTTAATTTATAAGAATTATTGTTTATAAGTTAATTCTTTGATTTTGTCGAATTCCAAAGGGGAATAGAATTAAGTTAGAAATAGATTGATTTGAGTTTGTCGGATTGATTCTTGTTGAATTTCATTGAATAAATTATTGTTTGATTTTTACTAAATACTGTATAGAGTTTATTAATAGAAGTTTAATTAAATATTTGATTTTGTTATTGACAAACTTTGTCATTATTTAATTCGGTGCACGCTTAAAGTCCAGGCCTGGCACACTAACGCGAATCCGCGTAAAGTACCCGTTAGGGAACGGCTATTTCCGGCACACAGTAGTGTCGATAATCGTTGGAAAGTCGGAAAAATAATATAGTACTTTACAATATAACCTGATAAAATTTAAGACAAACAAATTTAAATAGTACATATAAAAATAGACAATACAGTCACATCTATATGAAGTCACATTTTCTCTTGGTCACTCAAAATAGCAAATTTCAATTTATAAGAATCAATGATACTAAAATCACACCTCCATAAAGTCTAAAGTCAAAGCCATTTGCTATTCCAGCCTATATTATACAATGTTATATACAGTCAAACTTAATAGCACTGGTAGTCAACATTATACACATTAGTTTTGAATTCTTTTTTAAGACCATAAGCATTTCTTAGTGAGAGTATAAACACATTTTTAGCTACTCTGGTTATAAAACAATCTTTATAATTAATATTTTATTATGCAACTAAACTTCAGATATAAGAAAGAAAAGTGAGAAAAAGAACATAAATCATTATCTTATGATCTAAAAGATTATTTCAGTAGAGACACACATCTGTTTGTTTGTTTGTTTAGTTATGGCAATGCAACACTTGGGCAATCTGCCTTCCAAGAGATCATTTTAAGGGAAACTGGCCCCTATTTAGGCATTACAGATGTGAAGAAAACTCAAAAAATTCCATGTGGCCAGCCCATCCGAGTGAGGCACGAACCCATGACTGAACTCCCAGTGTTCAGGGAATGAAGACCGCTTGGCCACTGGTGGGCCAAGACACAACTGAATTGAATCTCAATTGTAAATAATTTGCAGTCTGGGCAATAAATAAATTTAAACTATCATCTTCTATCCATCATTTTACATTATATAAATTTTTGAAATAATCTATTGATAATTAAAAAATAGACATATTTGAAAAACATACAGCTTGTATCTCAAGAACTAGATGACTACTTGAACACTTGAATAGTGTTGAAAAAAACATTTAACAACAATTAGTGATTTAATAAGCATTGAAAAGGGGAAATTACTAGAAAACTGAACATTCAATACATAGCATTTTATCATGATGGTTTCATAGTTTTAAACAACATTATTATATAAAACAAATTAGACTGTGGCAAATCAACATCTACCAGTGATAAGTATTAGGAAATATAAAAGTTAATTGTAAAGATCTCAAATTACAAGTCTGAAGATGTTTATAATTTTGATGAAACTGATTTATTTCATCACTGAGTATCTGACACATTTTCTAACAGGATTTTGAAAGGAAGAAAGCAATCCAAATAATAAATTATAACTGGATTGTGCATAAATGCAAAAGACAATTAGTAATAGTTCTTGTTCTCTCTATTCCTAATTGATATATTTAAAAATCCACAGTGGTTTAAGAATATAAGTGTTAACATTAATCATCAACATAAGATGTGAATCCAAATGACAAGTGAACTTATTCATTATTGGGCTGCAATTTGAAAAAATTATAAACCTATAAATTTCCACTGTCATCACCTATCTATCTGTCCTTCCTTAATCTTAAGAAAGGCATTAGATAGATGAAAGTCAAGGCCAGATGTGGAAAGCTTAAGGCAAAAGGTCCATATTAACTATATATGAACTTCCAGTTTAAATTGGAAGTCACATTACTTCAATTCAAAATTTTTCCCTGAAAAGGGTTAGATAGATAACTGACACAACTCTATTGCTAACAGGAAAAGTATGATGTACAGAAGCAAGACCACCACTAAAATAATTGAAAACATTGTGACGATGTCACAATAAGTAACAGCTAAATAAATAAATGCTTACTGGAATTAATTAAATAAAATAAACAAACACCTTTCTCTATTCCAGCACATTTAATACATAACAGCTTGTTAGAATTAGTTTGGTTTATTAAGGTTACATCAACACAACACATGAACAATCTGCCAAGGGAGAGGAATCACAGGAAAACTTTTATGGGACCCTATTTAGGTGTTACTAACATGAAGAAAACTCAGAAACTGCTGTGACCAGCCCAAATCCACAACTAACTAACTACCAGAGTTTGGTGGTTTTATACACTCAGTTACTAGAGAGCACTTATTAAAATTAAGAAAGCACCCTTTAGAAATAAAAAAACCTGAATTGTTAGATGTGGAAAATTAAATACTTATAGGTTTTTCACAGGCTTAAACACTTTTGATTCAATGCAGGCAAGTGCTACATGCTACATACCTCAGTAATGATATAGCGCATCTATTTCATGCTATATTATTGTCACAGTAATTAAATATTTTAAAAAATTATAACCTTTTTTGTAAGAGTTATATTTAGTTTATTATTTTGTTAAATGTTTTGCCAATAGATAGTGCTGCATATAAAGCCAGCAAATTCAATGTAGACAGAAATTAATCGATATATATGTAAATTCAATCAATATTTTGGGTGGTATGTACAAAATATCAAAATTAAAAGTAGTTGAACATAATTGCCAAGTTTTATAGCAATTGTTTGAATTGCCTAGGAGTGTATAGCAAACAAACAAACAAACATCCTCATTTATATATATATAGATGCAGAGATCTATTGTCATCAACATTTCCTACTGTAAATAAGATAAATAAAAAAATTTTTCCCTGATGCCAAAACTTATTCATAATTGGGTACTTATTTCAGAAGCCAGCTATCTATTATTTACATCTATTTGTTACAAATATAGTTATGCCTGATGAATAAAAGCAGGACTATGTTTTATGAGACCAGTTATAGTTGGCTTCTGTAACAGATTATTAACTACAATTTAATTCATATTTGGTAGTCAATATGTTAATGGATTTTATAGTTGATAGAAAAAAGCTAACTACATTCATTTCTATGCACACAAATCAAAAAGTTTTGTACAAAGTTTATTATTATTTTTTTTTTTATAAATATCACAAACTTGGTAAAAGTATAACTCAAAAATTTATATAAATAAGTAAAGAAATGTAGAAAAATTATCTGATTTTATAGTTATGTATTTTTGAAATCATTATTTACTTCTTATAAACAGTATATATTTTATAACTTATGTGTCTTTTTAGATGAAGTTAATATACTAATACTTTCACAAAATAAACTTCTTTTTTAAAAAAAAAAAAACTAATAATTTTCTATTTTCTTTTCATAATTTAGGAAATACTGTAAGGTCTCTTTTTATGTGGATTATTTTTATGCGATTTTGAAGTTGTGTGGTTTGTATTTGTCCAAAAATTTCTTGGACAAACATACATATAGGCTTGTTTAGGAAGCCCGCGTATAGACAGTCTCCAAAAATCGTGGAACACTCAAAGCTCACTCCATTTGTTCCACTGACATATAACGTTTATGGATGTAAAGGACAGCTAGATCTACCTTAATCGCTTTAGTTCCTAGCAATTTTTGATATAAATGTAATTAAACATAAAAANCCATTAATCCATTCCAGATCCCCAAAACTCCACAATTTTTTTGTTACATGTTTTTAAATAAGAAAAATTTACTTATAAATAACAAATATTGTATAAAAACACAATAGAATGCACTGCAAGAAACAAGTTTTGCAGATGTTGCAATGTTTGCTACATAGATAAAAAAAGAAAAGATGGGAAATTTGAGAAATGAGAGACTATGGCACCGCACAAAACATGGAAGTGAACTAATGCCTATGTCACTCGATTACGTGTTTTTCTATAAGTTAACCTATTAGACATTGGAAGAATAATGAAAATGACAAAATTACAGCAGTTTTCCATCATCTTTTTCTTAATCTATGGTTTGCTGTGGCATTTTCTGCACTAACTAGTGGTGGGGTATCTAAAGCTGACTCATAACCCAAATTTTAGCTCTCAACTCAAAGCAAAATATCAGCCAAGAGACAGCTTGTATCTTTAAACTTGTAAGATTAAAGATACAAGTTTAATCTTTTCTTAGTTTTTCTTTGGAAGTTTTTCTTTACAAGAAAAACTTGTAAGTTGGGACACTCATAAGTCAAGGTACCA